TAATGCAAAGCACAGTTGAAGCCAGAAACGCTTTTCAAAAAATTAATGAGATGATGCTATACCCGAAGCAGGCCAGACGCACATCCATCCTACTCGAGCAACGAACTAAAAATGCTAAAAACACAACGATTGGACAGTTCTAATATAACAAACGGTCGATTAGTTATCGAAGTTGATGAGACCGACTCTGTGGTTCTGACCTAACAACAGGTAGTAATGGTGCTGCTATCTTGCAGTGATACAACAAAATTACAATACATTTTCTATTACTCGTACGGTAAATGGATATACAAGTCTTATAAAAATGAAAAAATAAAAAAAGTGGCTCTCAAATCATATCATATTTATTATTCTTGAAATATTAATCAACATTTGAGAGCATTATTTCTTTTATTTCTTCATTTTTATAAAGTTTATTATGTCCATTTATCAATTGATAAGAGAAAATGTGTTGTAAGTTTGCCGTATCGCTGTAAGATAGCAGCATCATTTGTTTTTACATGTAAAAAGTAACCTAGCAGTAGATTCGGTCAGAAATTGCCGCGAATCAGCACCGATTGAAAATATAAAAAGTTTAATTAATCTTCTGCCTCGAATTTTATTTTCTCAATTAATTTATATATTTTTTTCTAGCAATAAGCTATAATAGATCGATCTTACTCATGCCGGTATAATGTGTGGAATATTTTGTTCTATATATCAACCCCAACATGATTCTGAATCTTCTAAACAGGTATATACAAACGTTATGACGAGTCGTTTACATTAAAAATAAACACTGCAAAATTTGATTAGATCCTAAAATTTTGAAAGATGTATAAGTATAATTATATCATTTTTGTTTTTTTTTCCTATTAGAATATAGAGACTAAAAAATTTTTTCTACTAGAATGAAACTAAGAAATTGAGAGTTTGACATTGCATTATCGTGAAATTATTTAATTTTACAGGAACTGTAAAAGAGACTCGTTATATGGTATTCATTATAATAGATATAAAGTATAGTAATTTTTTTCCTGATCTATTGATTTATTTTATCTATTTTAGTGGAATATTTGTAAAGATGCAATAGCCGCCCGAGGTCCTGATTACTTTATGGAGAAACATTTGACTTTGAGTCATGACTGGCATGGACACTTTGCTGCCTCAGTGTTATGGATGCAGGGACCAAGAATAATGACACAGCCAAGTTTGGATGATAATGATAACTTGTTACTTTGGAATGGAGATCTTTTCTCGGGTTGTTTGGTACGTAAATCATGTATGTATATGGAATATTCTGATTGATGCTTTGAATAAACATCATTAAAAATTGTTTTTAACTTAAGAATGTCCCTCCAAAATAAATCATATATAGTATGTAAAAATAAAAATATGTTATAAATGTATTTTGTAAAAATTATAGAAATGTCAACTCTGAATCCTTTGCTTCTTTTGAACAAGAAAAATATAGTTAGTCTCAAAACATAGGTTTAGTAAATCTTAAATTGTAAGAAATTAATCAGTCATAGTCGATTATTTTTTTCACATTCAACTGTGATTGGCCAATATTTTGCAGCTTAAATAAAGTTTACTATATTTATTGTGTTTTGATATTGAAATATCTATATGTATATATAATAAAAATTACAATTGTATCTAAAATAATTATACTTGTTTTAGGCAAAAGATGATGTTTGCGATACAAATATCATATTGGCTGAATTACAATCTACTACAGATATCATGTGTGTACTTCGGAAAATTGAAGGTCCTTATTGTTTAGTATATTATCAAAAATCAAGCAATACATTATACTTTGGACGAGATATTATCGGACGACACAGTTTACTTTTAAAAGTAGACAACAAAAGTAATTCATTAACTTTAACTTCGGTTGCAAATAAAAAAATAAAAGGAATTGTAGAAGTACCGGCTATAGGTATCTTTGTAATGAATTTAAATATGTCACAGATAAATTTAGCATGTTATCCATGGAAAGAACCTGATTTGAAGTTTACGGATATTATTGAAGTATTAGAAACAAATTTAAATGTAGATATTGATATTAAAGAAACTATATTGAATACTTGTTCGTCTGCACTGACGAATTTGCATCTACATCCAGATCCAAAGGATGTGGAATATCTAGAAAATGTACCATATAGTAAAGATTTTAATGAGATATTGCAATATCTGTTGAAAAATCAGGAGGTAAATGAAAGAGTCGAATGTTTGATGGAACTGTTACATCAGTCTGTGAAAATTAGAATAAAGAAAAAACCAAATTATTGCAAGGAATGCATAAAAATAGTACTAAACGGTGGAAATGTTACTTGTGCTCATTCCAAAATTGGTGTATTGTTTTCTGGTGGCCTAGACTCTGCAATTTTAGCAGCAATTGCTCATAAATACGTTCCAGAAGATGAAAGTATCGATCTCATTAATGTGGCATTTGAAAGACTGGGAAGCAAAAATCAGAGCAAGAGTCATACGAACAATGAAAAGGAGAATGTAACGCAGAAATATGATGTGCCAGACAGAAAAACGGGACGACAAACATATTCCGAATTGTTGCGAATTTATCCCAACAGGAAATGGAATTTTATAGAAGTACAGTGTCTATATTTGAAATATTTCTTTCAAAATCTTTGAAAAAAGAAAAAAATAGGAAGAACTCGTGGAACCATTTTTCTGATTGCAATGCTTATTTCAGTGTAACATCACGCAAATGGAATTGCAACTGTATCGCGCGTCACGAATTTGTGATTTATTGCATCCATTGTGTACAATTCTGGATGAGAGTCTAGGATGTGCTATGTGGTTTGCAAGTCGAGCAAAAGGTGTCCTCTATCCAGCCAATGAAATATACGAATCGCCGTGCAGAATATTACTTTTAGGCATAGGGGCGGATGAATTATTCGGTGGATACATGAGACATAGAACTATATTAAAGCATAAAGGATGGGATGCGCTGGTACAAGAACTAAATGTCGAATTGACTAGGATTTCTGAAAGAAATTTAGGTCGAGACGACCGGATTGTTTCTGATCATGGGAAACAATCCCGTTTGCCGTACCTCGACGAAAATTTGGTGAAATATGTGCAGCATATAAAACCATGGGACAGGTAAATTTAAATGATAATAAGCAATTTGTGGATTACTACGAATGAGTATATGTATAACTATTGATAGATGTTATCCAACTGAAAAAATGCCAAGTGGATTGGGAGATAAATTACTGTTACGTTTGTTAGCCTGCAAAATTGGTTTTCAATGTACAGCTAACTTTCCTAAAAGAGCTTTTCAATTTGGATCGCGAATTGCAAATGGTAAAGAAAATGGTAATGATGTATCAAATAGATTATAAAACGTAAGTAAAAAATATTGTTAACGCAAATTTTATTCATCTTACTACAGTTACTATTATTTTCAAATTGAATAAAAAGAGTGACGATTTCTGCTGTGTTGCAGTCACAACTATCCTACTGCTAATAATTTTAATGATACTACGCGCATGTGTTGAGCTTTAATAATTATATATATACATATATATATATATATTATTTTGTAATTAAATTAATTAGTACATATACGTAATTATATTATTTAACATATTTATTATAGTGTATCTCATGGATCGTCTACAATGGAAGTAATATTGCATAGTAAGCAGTAAGATCGTCATCGCGATTCATTTTGATTTTTTAATTTTTATTTTGATTATATTTTTTATTACTTATATATTACAACTTTATTCTTTTATTTTCACTATTGTTACTCGAAGTAAATGTTTATAAGATAAATCGTAATTTTATAAGTATATATTCCAGCAATTTTATATTAAAACATAATAAATTATTAATTGATGGTATAGTATGATTATTTTATCTCAAACCATATCGTATCTTTGATCTATATTAGTATTTTCAATACTAATGTAATAATAGTATATTTATTAATGGCACCCGCGTGTAATTTTTTATTATTTAATATTAAGTAATATTTTATAGGCATACTTTTAGAATGTTATATGTAACATTTTAATAACATTTTACTATTACATAATATTCCTGAAATACACATACTTTCGTGCACTTTTATCCAGTGACATTTTAATAACAAATAAACCTGTATTAGACTAAAAAATACAAAAATTAAGCAATTGTACAATATTTTTTTAGGTTCATAAACTATTTACAATTAAAAAATTTATTTACATATTTTACGGTTTTATTTTCCCAAACAAAGTGCGTTTATACAAATATAAGTTTAAAAATAACCGCGTCTTGCGTCAAGATGGATGCAAGTTTGCAGTACTTTATAGGTAAATCTAGTGACTTTATTAGTAATCCTGCCACTCCTGCCAGTCGAATTAAGAACGGTTCAACGTCAGATCGGTCAGATCAGGTGAGACAGAGAGAGAATTGTGTATCAAGAAAAGTTGACTAATTTTAATTTGAGTCTCTTTGTTCTCTTAATTATTAAATAAAATACATTATTTAAATAAGATCCAGTAAAGATCTAATGAATTTATAATATTTAATATTGAAAAAAGTAATTATTTTAAAGTAATACTTATTTGGATAGAAATTGATAGGTTAATGATTATTTAGGACGATTAATTAACCTTAATATCGTATAAATCTTTCCTGCACATATATTTTATTAGTTTCACTCAATACTTCGCTTAATAAAATAACGTAATTAAGTATTACATTATTTTCTTCATTATATGAAATAACGCAATTAATTTTTCTATTATTTTCTTCATTATATATATATATTTTTTTTTAAATTTATTATATGGTCTCAAGATCGAAGATTCTCAATATTAAAAATACTCGATCTTGAAAGTTTATCATGATCGAAGTGAATTATAATTTCAAACAATATGATACAGTCCTTTATTAAATTGAAATTATGTTGTATAAGAGAAGAGGATAAATGTGTGTGTGTGTGTCACATTGACTGTTAAGGCAAAAAATAAATAAACGTTTATATTTCAGTGTGTATGTAGATACATACGCAGCAGTTTTGTGTGATTATTTGTATTTAATCACACTAGTTTTATTAGGTACGTTTGACAGGAATAATTATTTCAGGTTCAGATAATATTACTAGTTTTATTATACAATACCCAAAACACACACACACACATGCAAAAAAGTAATTTGGAGTCATGTATTTTAATATATGTAATATGAAATACTATCTATTGTAATGAACAAGATTCCTGTTATTTTTTTGCAGATATATAGAGATTAGCATTAATTAATTAGGAAATCATGAAAGAAAAACATGGCTGAGCATGGCAATGACCTTTACGAACAACAACTTTTTGCTGTATTTGAAAGCTGTTTGACAAAAGGAGAGGATGAACTCAGTGAGAATGATTTGTTTTCCATTTGCAATAAATTACACCTCGATGAATTGATTGAAGAATTGAAATTGTGCATTTGCAAACATCATCCAAATAAACAAACAATATCCTTTCAAGAATTCCGAGATGGTTTATTACTCTTGTTGAAAAAATTCCAAGGTTCAATAACCGATAAACAGCATATTGTACAACCATATCATAATTTAAATATATGCAATCGAGATATCGAGAAAAATCAAACTTTACCATTGGTCACAAGTACTTCGAGGATTCATCTTCAAGATATGAAAGCTAATGTTACAATGGACGAGAGCAGACTGATACGCTTATGGGAGAAAGTGAAGGTTTGTTTCAGTGAAAACACAGAACCTGCAACGATACAGTTTATATCGAGTTGTTTAGAAATTCCAGAACTCCCTAAACAAATAACAGAATCTATCTTTGAAAGTCTCGATCGCAATTGTGATGGATTAATAAGTTTTGACGAGTTTGTAATTATATTTCAAAAGAGAAAAAATATCAAGACTTTACGAGAGGATACTGCATCTCATAGCAGTATTGTAAACTATGATGTAAATACATTAGATTTTAATACACGTGTGTCTTGTGAAATTGATTCAACGCAAACTAACAGAGATTCGGATAAAGAGGGAAAAGTTGCTGGTGTTTCTAATATAGCTACACTATCATCCAGTGGAGATCTTGATGCTTTGGACACGAGTCTTGTAGAAATAACAAATATCATATGCGATGAACTCAAAAGTTTAAATGAATCATTAGATAGTAATACCATTCAGACTCATATTAATTTGTTACGAGAAACGATGATTACCCATCAGGATGAGCAACGCAATTTAACTGCTATAATAGACAACATGAAGGTGGAAAGAGAGAAAATGCGGATTGACATGTTAGAGGCCAATGAACGGGCGAATTTATTAGCACAAGAGATCGATGAGTATCATGTTCAGTTGGAAAAAACGAAAAAAGATTTACAGAGACAGAGCGAACAACGTTATGCTGAAATTACGAAAGAATTATCAGATCAACTGAATATCGAACGGGAGATGGATGCCGCGGCTCTAAAATCAAAGGATGATCAGTTACAGGCACTACAAAAGGATAATCATGATATGAAAAATAAAATCGTACATATTTTGCAAGAAAATCAAATGCTCGAAGCAGAGAATAAAACTCTTCTTAGCCAGATTGAAAAGTTGCGGCAATCTAATAATGATTTGTTAACTCAAATAAAAGTGTTAGATGCGGAGCAGGATGAGATACAAAGCATAGAAGCCAAGCAACAAGAACAAGTTAATTTTTTCGTTGATCGTATTAAACAGTTACAGTCAGAAGTAACGCTCTTACGAGATCAAAACGACGAACTTTGTGTGGAATTGGAAAATTCGAAATGTTATGGCAAAGATACGTCATATAAGACACCATCGTCTTTGGCATATGATTTACAATTAGATGAGAATCAAGATGAAAACCATATGACACAAGAGTTTGAAGTGGATCGGCAGATCAGTGGTAAAGCATCAAGTGATGACTTTGAAATACCAATGGACGAAGGTCAGACTGATATATCCAATTGTGATACAATGGAATACAAAAGAGATATAATTATAAAAGATTTGGAAAATATATTATCAACAAGTGCAAAATGCCTACCAGAGAAATGTTCTTTGAAAGCTAGTGTGTCGAAATTGCTTACTTGTCTGCGATCGGACTTTGCACTACGTTGTCCCGCACAAGACTTTGGGAAAAGTATAGCATCTGAGCTTGAAATGGAATGTGAGGAACGAGCTAACGAGTCTTTGCGAGATTTAGTCGTTTCGAAAATACCAAAGCAACCTTCTGCGAAACGTACAGCGATGTCCAATAGTGCAGAAGATTTGAATAATTTCACTGGTCAAGATGCAAAAAATCTAATACAAAATAAGGCAATGAGTCTTAGAGATTATCCACCGCGAAAAGAAGAATATCCTATGGATCAATGGAAAGCCAGCAAGGAAAAAAATAATTCTCCGAACGTTACTGAAGTCGAAAGTATTCCAAGAATTGTGACAACAAACACAGAATCATTAGAGATAGAGAAGAAACAATTGACCGAACGTTGTCAAGAACTCGAACGAAGTTTAGATTTATTAAAAACGGAATACGAAGAATGTGAGGATTATTGGGCTGCCAAATTAGAAGAAGAAAGACAGCTTTTTGAACAAGAACAAAAAATAAGTGACGACAAACTTGCCGAGCTTATTAATAAAATAACAGAATATGAAGAATTAATTAGTCCTTCGGATAAATCAAAAAATAATGGACGATTGTCTCCTATAGAAGAAAAGTTTAATTTGGAGCAACAGGTAAGATAAAATCTATGTTTGCGTTTATGCTTATTTTTGTTTTTGAAATACACACACGTGCATACTCGTATTATTTTACTGATAAAAACATTTTAATATTTTTAATGTCTCAGTATATAGATCTCGAAGAAGAATTTGAGAAATGGAAAATAAAAACTGAAAATGATATTTCTCAGAAAAATCTAGAAATTGGAGACCTCCGTGAAAAGTTAAGACTGATAGAACAACCAATTACAAATGATTCCTATGTACAAGTACCAGACGAAATTTCTTTAGCAACATTGTCAGATTCGTCGCACTGTAAATCTTCCAGTATGTCCAGTATTCTATCAACGAACGAAATATTCGCAAATACGGATTTATTTGGAACAAACAATCAAGCATGTCATACTTCAGCAGAATTTTCATTATCCAATAATCTTAACAAATTGTTGAAACAAGAGGATCACATAGACGGTCATAATCTATATAATACACATACTGAGTGCTCTACAAAAGTAATAAAAGATATAAGTAAAGATCAAAAGATATATCATAATAGTCCACATATTGCTGATAAAACTATGGCAATGAAAGAGGAAGATAAGTGCGATTCAGAATTTAAATTGATACATAATACAATGAAAGAAACTAGCTGTACATGTTCAGAGAATAATGTTCAACAGCAAGTAGATTGCATCGATTTAAACATTTTTCAGAACTTAAAAATGAAACTTTACGCACAAGAACGCAAGAAACGTCATCTGCAGCGTTATATTAAACAGCAGCGGCAGTATATTGAAAGATTATTACAACGTAAGTATTTTTTTTCACGTTATTACTGATAAAGTAATTTAATACATTTTCAAAATTGTGTTTGCATGAAAAACATGTTTATCCTTTGTTTTTAAGATTATCGTTTTTTAAAATCTTTTTAATTTAAGGACAAAATTATTGCAACTTGCTATTATAGGTATTATGGTGCAGCACCAGACGGAAGTATGTGAGTTACAGTGCCTTCTCCGTAATGCCCAAGAAAGACTTCACATACAAGTTCAAACAACTGTTGATCAGGTACGACACAAATGTTCATAATTATATATTAATTTATAAGGGGTTTTATGTGCAGTTCCATTTTTTCCAAATAACAATTGTTAATCACATTCTCTTAATTACGAAATTGGAGTAAGAGAATAATGGTGGATAAAAAATTGTGTTATATATATTAAAAAATAATTCATCTATATGTATATACGTATGTATAGGTGAATCATCTTTCTAAAATTAATGAGTGTTAAAAAAGGTACATCAATTATGAAATATTACACAGAATGATTGATCAAAGCTAAAATGATAAGCTTTAATATAATAATAATCTAATAAAATTAAAATTTATCATTATTTTTATCCCATAGGCTGATAAATTAGCAAGTGCTGACATTTTGGTAAAGGATTTGTACATAGAAAACGCATATCTAATATCACACATGAAGCGCTTGCAAGAACGATATCTTATATTAACAGGCCTTGATGTAGAATCGACCTCAATGTGATGTCTACAAATAATTATTTACAATTATAATAAATCAACGTCTCTTTGTATGTATCGAAAATAATGTATATTATTTATTTATGATATGTAAAATTATTAATTAACAGTATAAAAGTGTCGTATAGCATAAGGCCGGAATGTAACTCAGGGATGCAAACGGTTAGAAAAAATGTATGTTTTAAAACGGGTGCCTTCAGTTTTTAATTTGATTTAAAGAGATTTTTGGCTTATATATGTGTATATATATATAACATACACATACACACACATACGATTTAAGAGCAATTGTATGATGAATAAGAGAGAAGCATTAATAATTGTAAGCAGAGTTGATTTACTATTTCTAGTTAGATGATAGCATGATGGTTTTTTGTATATAGATGAGTACACAAAATACGAAACAATATAATATACAAATATGAAATATATTAAGATTTTAAGCATACGTATGTAAAATCAATGTATATAATTTTATACTTGTTTATACTTGTTTAAAAAATTATCCATTTGGCCTGAATATTTTTTTTTAATAACTTATATTAATTTTCTTTTACATCAAAAATTGATTCATGCCATTCTGTTAAAAAATATTAAGATACGACTATAGAAAAAATAGTTTACCGGATATTTAACATTTCATGTTAATATGTGTCAGAATAAAATAGAAAATATTTTGTAAACTATTGGTTTTTTGGTATCTCTATCTTAATACTTTTATATACAGAATAATTAAAGGAACTTTATTACGTAAAAAAAATATAATTCCATTTAAAAAATTATACATTTCGCTGATTCCACTCCGCTAAAATGTATTTTCCTATGTTCCATTGCTGCAGTAGCCCTTAAAACAAGCATCTGTGCTGTAGTAACTCAATAGCTGAGTAAACGTTCACTGCTATTGATGTATTCTTCTAGATCTAGAATTATAATTGGATGATCCGAAAAAGTAAGGGGCTCCGCACAATAAAAGGAACAGGGAACAGAGATTAAGAATTTCAACCTATCAGAAACTGTATATTCTACAATACATGATTTCTGATAGGTTAAAATTCTTATTCTCTGTTCCTTTTATTGTGCGGATCCCCTAACAAGGCTTATATCTTCTGAACACAGCCGGTGTAGTTTTTGAACGCTGTCCAGCGCTGTCATTGACGTTTCCTTGAAATATAACCTTGAAATTATGTGATATTTTGACAGTTTGGAAAGTAACAATAACAACGATATAAAAAAAAAAGCGTTGCGCATAATGTATGGAGCACAAGTATACACACATACACGTATATATCTTCTCTAGAATCTGACAGAAAACGATAATTAATAATACATGTCGTAAATACATGCATAGATTATGCATGCATTTCATCTCATAAAAATGTTATAGCAAACAAATTTAATGATGTAAATATTTGACTAAATGAAATAGTGTTATATTATTATTTATCTTATGTGTTATCAATTAATTCTATTGTGAAAGATTATATGTTTATAAATTACATTCGTATGTGTGTCATATGAAATGTATGTATTCATTATTTTAGGAGATACCGTTTGTGATGGATCCTGAGACAATAGCAATGGGCGATAATTTATTCAAGCTGCAGTGTTTAATTAAAACTACCGAGATTCAGCATAGTGTGCAGTGCAAACTTGAAAGAAAATTATTTTTTGCATTAGCAACCAACAATGCTGAAATTATTCTTTATTATAAAAGGGAATCTTCTTGTCTACCTGTTGTTAAAAAAATACCATGGTTTCAAGGGCTACATAAACAAATAGCTGCATTTTGCTTTGATTCAAGTGGTACTTGGTTATTATGTGTAACTTTAGATGGTTCGTTGTATGTATTACCTGCTTTAACTTTAGTTGGTGAAAATTGCATTATTGACAAAAAATGGAAAACTGACGATGCAACTTATATATCTTTTGTAAATTCACAAATTTCTCATTTCAGGTAATTTTATTAAAATAATTCTTGTGAATATAGGCAGTAATTGTAAAGTTTACACTGTCTTGCTATAGCTGCTGCTTTATTTTCTTCTGCACAGACTATTTTTTATTCCTATTATTCTTTATCTTATAAATATATAATTTTCTAATTGTATCTATATAAGATTTCTTGAAAATTATACTATTTTTAGACCAATAGCTATTATATGGTGGAGAAATACGAAAATATCTGAGGACATAGGCATTATAGGAACGGAATGTGGAGCAATTATATTTATAAATCTTTCAAATGGACAACAACTAGGCATAACATACATTAATGAAAGTATAAGCAATCTACATCTTTGTGAAAATGAATACAATGAGATTGTATCTCTTTTGATAACAAGTAAATTTCAACAGCAATGGCGTTTATCTTTGGAACACATGTCTTTTAATCTTTTACATAATGTTGAAAACGAAAAACCTTATAACGAATTAAATTTAAGTGGTGCTAGTCATTATAATGTGGAAGATTCCGTTCCTAATAAATCTAAATTAAAAGAGCTTAAACAGCTCTCTGTTGAAAAATTGACTATTCTTAAACAGAAGATAATTGATACCAAAAATCAAACATTAAAGGAGAGTTTACAATATCATGGTAGGTGTACGGAATATGTAGAAAAATGTTCAAAATGTAATATTAAATGCCTCTCAGGAAAAATGATGAAACACTTATATTATTTTTTTTTATAAATATTAAAACGATATTTCATATTTTTAACAAATGAGAAAATTTTCATAATTAATTCGTGCTTTAAAAATAAATATTTATGATGCATACATACGTTTTTTTATATTATCTATTTATGCGGAAAAAGTACACAATTACGTACATCATCGCTTTTGACCTGAAATAAACATGATTGTACAAAGAAAAGTTTATACAAGTGATAAATATATTTCGGTTGCATATTTATCTGGTCACCGTTACTATTACTAAAAGATTCATAAAACAATTGTTATGTATTTATATCACAGATGCTGCAAGAAACAAAGAAAATGATAATGGAATTCCTGTTAATTCGGAAATATCACAATGCAAATTAGGTTTTGTTAGTCCAGAACCAATATCAAAAGATACTTTTCTATCTTTGCAATATGACAGAGAAAACCGACAATTGTATACATGCTATCATCTTGTTACTAATTATATCACAGTGAGATCTTTTTGTGATATTTTTCCTCAGTTAATTCCCAAGCACTTAATATATTCTAGCCTTCTAATATGAAAATTTCTTTATTTTAGGTACACGGTCCAAATCTAACTATGGTACCTTTGTCAATGCACAAAGTGTTTAAGTCATGCGAAACGGTTTTATTAGCACATAGATTATTTTTTATTACCGATATTAATCAATATGTAATATATATAATATCTGATCAATTATCCGAGACTCATGTAAACAAAGACTATCAGTTTAATCCCGAGTCTATTATCGGAACATTTTCTTTTAAAAATAGTAAAGAAGTAATACGCGCGGTATACAAAGTAACACAATTCAATAATACAGTACCGAGAAAAGTTTGTGAGGAAATCGAAAATACCTTACCAAAGAATGTGAAAGATATTAAGGTCGAACCGTTTAGTTTGGATACATGTATAATTGTGACAAACCGCTGTGTATACGAAGTTGTATTAAGGTCAGTTTAAAATTTATCGCATGATTTATGAAGACACAAGGGTTCACAAAGCAAACCAAGAAACAAAATTGTAATAATAGATCTTGTTATTCAACAAAGATTTATTTTTTGTAATTTTTTTTTTCAACGTTACGGCAATAGCTTTGATGTGCAGCACGCAAAATGTTATTTAATTACTTTTATTTTTTAAAATAGGGGGGATCAAGAAAACAAATATATTACATTATTTCTTGAACTTGCTTGTATTTCTCTCATGATGAGATAATATAATTCTAATACTAATTAATTTTTAAATACTTGTGTAATTTTTTGCTATTATACATTATAATTATTAAACTATTGCTTTATTTCAGAAAATCTCTTCTTTCGATCTTTATGGAATTAGTATTGAAGAGAAACGAGTTACAAGAAGCTGGAAAATTAGCAATGATTTTTGGATGGAATGGACAACATCTGCTGGAATATGTTGGCGATTTATTCCTATCAAATAAAGAATTCTCACGCGCAGTAGCTTCATATAAAATGTCTAAGGTAGCTAAGAATTGAATTTCTCTCTGTTTCTTTATCTATCTATGTTTCTTTCCTATGTGTATCTATCTCAACATTTTTATTTCAGTGTAAATTATTGAAGAGCGTATTAAAGTTTGCATCAGTAGGCCATACATCAGAATTACTGAGTTGTCTAACTCATTGTTTACTTACACCTCTTATTACTGAAATGCCTATTGCAACAAGGATACATTTATCTAATTTGTGTGTACTTTCTTTTATTGAAATGACACTAAGGATTTGGTCGGAACAATCTAAAGCAATTTATAAAGAATTCTTGTAAGTCACATCTTACTTTTATTAAATATATTATATTTCTTATATTATGAGGCATTTTCAATTGAATATCTATATATATTTACTAATAACAATTTCAATGATTTTCAAATTTCGAAATAATAGCTTTGAATAAAATGTTTTCCTCTTACGATAGCTGCCTCTTTACATGCAATTTCGGTATACTTTCAATGATTCAAAGCAGTTCTTGCCCTCTTTTTTGGCTTTC